TTGTTGAATTTTGCGCAAGATAAGAAAAGAAGGTATTTTATACTTTGAATTAAATTAAATAGAAATTACACGAGAAGAAGATTTTGTCTTTGATAAAATTTGAAAGCTGTTCGAAAATGAAAAGAAAAGCAATCTTTCATGAAAGCTCTGAAATAAAAATCGAATTCAAGATGGATTTTGTTGAACAAAATAAATATTGAAAAGATTTTCATATAGATGAAAACAAAACAAAAATTTCGATGGAAAAATGTATCAAGAAATTCAAATAAAATAAAACTTTTAAAATGCTACAAAATTCAAATTTGACTTTAAATTTCAAAGAGTTTTGATAAACGAATTTTTTTTCTTATTTGATTTCTCTTAATGAAAGTTTGAAAAAGATTTGTTATATTTTTCATAGATATTGAAATAAATATTTAATAGCTGTTTTATCATATTTAATTCAATTCCTTCAAATCAAGAAATGCAACACTTTTTTTGTTTTGAGGGTGTGAATCCTTTCTCTGCACACATCCACCCACACCCTAAAGAACCGAAAATAGGTGTTGATTGAATTTATTCATCTGGGTAATTAACAATGCACTCAATTATGTCAATAAAGAATTTTTTTATTTGTACAAAATAATGATAATGATATATTGTTGTGATATGTAAAACGTGTAAAATGATCTTCTTCATTGAAAGAAAAATTATTATATAGACGAATGAAATTCTTTTTGTATCACAAGAATATAAATATTTTTAATTGGTTTCATAAAATAAAAACAAGATTTCTATTCAGAATACATATAATACTTCTTTTTTTACAGAGTGAGAACGAAAGTATAGATATTACATATATCTTTGAACCTCTCACCCTCGACTAATGGAATTATACATGTGGATCATAAAGATCTTAATGGCAATTGATACTTTATAATTATTCTATTGAGTAATATATAGTTTTTAAATTATCTTTCCTTTATAATAATGAAACATCAACAAAATACATTAATTCTATGTCTGACAAACAGAAGAAAATCAATTATTATTATTAGATCATTCATATAGTTCGATATCTCTAAGAAACGATGATAGTAAAAATAAGATTTCAAATTTCTTTTCTTTTTCTTACGCAAGTTTTTTATTGTAACGCAGAATCCTAATGAGTTTTTAAAATATTAAATAATTAACACGAAACGAACTTTGTATTTCTTTGATTATTTAAAAAGAACATGTCGAAACTATTGTTATTTTTCGACTTATGATCGATTATTTACACAAGTATATATTGGTCTTCTCTACTTTTCACGAAAGTCTCAGACCAAGTATTATGTGCAAGAAATAGAACGAGACTTTTTCTACATTATTATTATTAATCAAGGCTTTCATCATACAGTAAGAACAGTATCGACTTAATAAAATGGTCCGACGAGATATTGAAGATAGAACAGAAAAATATATCGAGTCATCAATAATAACGTATCTCCAATCTAATGTATATGTGTCACGCAGAATTAAGGTTTAGGCAAAATTAAACTTGATTTTAAAGTGATTCTATGATCATATGATTTTAAAAAATTTTCGAAAAATAATTCAGTTGTTATTATTATTTTAAATTTTTCAAAGTTGTAAAGTTCTTAAGTTGAATTCAATAAAAAATGAAATTTGTTTGATTTTCATTTTAAATATGTTGAATTTGTTTTTTATAATGGGGACATGGGGACATTGATTATTGGCTGAAAAATGAGCTATTTAATTTTTGTTTTTAAATATATTATTTTTTTAAATAATGGGGACATGGGGACATTGATTATTAGCTAGAAATGAATTGTTGAGTATTTATTATATTATATTTTTTTTATGACAATAAGATTAAAACATTGATCGTAATTGATGAAAAATAATATTGTAAATATAAGACAGTTTTACGAAGATTTTTGTCTTCTGTGATTGTGGTTTCATAAGTATTTTGTCGAATCGGTTATATAGGAAAAGACATGAATATTTTCAGTGAGATTATGTTTATTACGTGTGATGATAAAATCAAAGAAAGAAATATGATAAACAGATTTTAAAACTTACGATCACATTCAAGAAAAATGAGAGTCAGTAGTTAAATAAACATAAGGCAACGGAGACGTGCGATTGTGTATTATTTTCTCATTAAATATTTCCATCGAATAGTAATATTTCAATTATAAAAACAAAATACATCGATTTATCTAATTAAAAATGTCGTCATAGCTTATGTTTAATCATTATGTGTTTCATAGTAACGAACCGCGATAAATAGAATACAGTTCATTTACACAAGCAACATAAACATTTAATTTAGTAGATCTTAGCAAAAATTTTTAATATAGAAAATTTATGGGAATAATAATTTTAGGAAAACTGTGTAATAATATATTATGAGATGAGACGACCAATTATTTTATATTTTTATAATACTAAACGTTGAATAAATTAGTATATAATAAATGACGAGCACACAAAAACACAAAAATTTTCAGAAAAAATCAAATATATGATACAATGAGTTCGCTCAATTTCTTATTCAACGTTTTTAATATGTTTTTTTTGGAAACTACTATACAAATTATTTATTTTATTCTAACAAAAGAATCTTGCCCAATATTTTTTCTTTTAATTCTAAATGACGAGCACAGAAAAAACGGAAAAAATATATGATACAATGAATCGTCTAATTTTTTATTAGTTGTTCTTAACATGTTTTTTTTTGTTGGACGATACTATACAAATAATCTATTTTATTATAATAGAAAAATGTTTTTCGATATTTTTTTTTCGACCAAAAAAAAAACAAAATTCAAATTTTCGCGCGGAAAGAAAAGCAAATTTTGCCTGTTTAATTTTGCCTAAAACTTAATTTTGCCTGGGACATATATATTCATAAAATGTAAGTAAAGTTAGCAGTAGATTCGAGTTTTTGTTGTTGATATTCAGTTAGGAATTTAGAAGAGGTCTCTACGTGTTAAGATGGATCCTAAATTTAAGTCCGCCTCGAATGAGAGATCATCTGAAAAGAAGATATCGATTAAGAATGATCAGTTTCATCAAAAATACTGAGTGTTGATTATTCAAAGATAAACGTCCAAACTGACAACTCATGCACACTTATACTAATTGTACAAAATCTAAACATATAAATTATGAAAAAGAACATACAGAAGATCGTGTTTTTTAAGTATGAAAGTGAAGAAATGATAATTGTATGAGATATTAGATTAGATGATGAATATTCATGTTCGGCATGTTCTTTAGTTGATGATTCAGAATTAATATTATTAAATATGAGAAAATCCTGATATAATTTTGCTCATATTACTAAATGTATTTATCGTGAAACAGTCATATTGACATCTATATATATATATATATTTAAATAGTTAAAGATATCTGGGGAAAAACTATTAGATAGAGATAGTTTGTTAGTGTTCTTGTTCATGTGTTTGTAGTTTAAATTGACATATGAATAGTTTAAAACGAATATGAATTTCCAATAGTTTTTCATAAAATGATAATTCATTCTAATTTGATTACTTTAGTTTTGTTTTATAACTAATTCAACATCATATACAATCAACTCAACAGAACAATATGTATAAATTACTTTTATCTCAGATTAAAAATAAAATCTCATGTGATGGAAAAGTATAAAACGACATTTATTAACAAATCAGAACAAAAAATAGTATTTCATTGAGTGGGCCAATCCTAGCCAAATAGGCCATAAGATATATAGACTAGAAACCTTCTTCATGAGGTTTCGAAGGATCTTCGTAACACAAATTTAGTTTCGTTCAATTAAATATATGTCGTTTGATAGAATTTGTCGAAATGTATAGAATGAACTTTAAACTTCAGAAGTAGCTCTAACTTTTACATTCATTAAATTAGGTAAAATGTCATTGAAAATCTGAATGCATTATTCCGTACCTCTCAACGAACTAGAACGGGTTCACATTATCAGATGAATTTAAAACAATTTTCCAGCGAAAAAACGACTTCATCATCTGATGGATGGAGATTGGTTTAGATCTGTTTAAAGTTCGTCAGCTTCTTTTTCTCGTATGATTATTTTGCAATCGAATTTTTCAACAGTAAACTACCATTAAAAAGAATCTACGACCAGAATGCAAAAAAAAATTATGAACCAAAATAAAAAAATGTATAAACGAATAATGCAAGTACTGATAGACGAGAGGAAATTATTCATCCATATAAAAAATAATCTTGTTGACGTGATTTTATTCTTCTATTTTTCTGTCTATTCATTCTCATTTGGAATTTTCCAACTTAATTACCTATCTTTTGTCTCGTATTACGATCGTTTATTTCAAAAAAATAACAAAATGATGATTTAATGTTTGTACATTCTTTGCTTATCTTCGTCGCAGTTTTGTCGAGAATAGGACGAAAACAGATATATCAAATCATTATATAACGTCACTTTATATTATACAAATGATCATGAAATAAAAAATATGGCTTATGAAGGTAATTTCCAAGAGGAAAAATAAGAAGAGAAAAAATATCGTATATATATTGGTTTGTTTTTCGTTCCTCCATATTTAGGTGTGTTTAGTGAGTATTTATCAAACATTTTTTTCGATGATATATATTCAAAGGCATTGAAGAAAAGAGTATTCTTATTTCATTTCTTATTTTTAAGATATTCCTGGTGTTATAATCTGTTATGAGTCAATCAGCAACGACAAATTCAACTAAGTATTGTATAGATTAGATAGTTCAGAAATAGATGGAAATTTTCGAATTCATCTCTATGTTTTGCGTAAGTCACAATGAGATTAAGTCAATTCTAGTAAGCGTTCGTAAGTGTAGATGTGAATTAATGAAAACTCATTAACAAACATATCCTCAATCTATTCTTAATTTTTGATCAACCATTTTAGATGTCACATCAGTTTTACTAGTGAGATTTTGTCATAATAAAATTCTTTTTAGATTTCTTCTATAAATTTATATCAAACTAGATGGCAATGGCAAACAATAAAAGAAAATGTTTTACCTGTCATAAAGAAAACAATACATATACTTGTGAAGGATGTTTAAAAAGATTCTGTTCTAGACATATACCAGAACATCAACAAAAATTAAATGACGAATTAAGCCATATTATTATTGATTATGATCAGCTTAAACAAAAAATTAATGAACAAAATCGACAAAATCATTCATTAATAAATCAAATTGATCAGTGGGAAATGGAATCAATTGAGAAAATTCAACAAAAAGCACAAAGTTATCGAGAAATTGTTATCAAATTCTCAGAAACATCTATTAATGATATTGAAATACGATTTAATGACTTAAATAAACAAATACAACAACTGAAGAAAGAAAATGATTTTAATGAAATTAATTTAAACTATTTAAAAAGTCAATTAATGAAATTGACACAAGAATTAAATAGTCCATTGAAGATTTCTATTAAAGAAGATTCAGAATCATTTATTAATGAAATTTCGATAATTCCATCAAAAAGTAAGTTTTTAAAAAATAATCTATAAAAGAATACATTAAAAGCTTTCTTTATTTTATTATGATTATGTATTGATAAATTCAAAAATAGAATATACATTAAAATTTTATAATAAATAATGAGTAAATTGTATTTGATTTTGAATTATTGTGATTTATCTGATTATTTTAGAAATCTTTCTTCTAATATTTATTTCTTCTTTTTTATTTCGATTTGTTTAAATTTCTTTTATTAACCGTCCTTACTATTTTTTTCCTTTTTCTTGAAATCTTTTGTTTTCATCATTTTCTAGTATCAAAATTCAGTAAATGGAAACAAAACGCCATCACTGTGGCTGGTGGAAATGGACAAGGACATGAATTAAATCAACTCGACCACCCATTTAGAATCTTCATTGATAAAAAGAAAAATATTTTCATTGCTGATGGTTTTAATCATCGTATTGTTGAATGGAGACATAATGCAAAAGAAGGACAAATTATTGCAGGTGGAAATGGCAATG